CCTAGTTCTGTGGGCACTGAGAGTCAGGTGTGAGGCTTCCATTTTCTGGCATTGGTCAGGGCTAAACAACTGTGGTCCTAAAACCAATAGTTCCTCAGTGAATGCTATTTCCTCAGTGTCCTGATCCTCTATGTCCTTCTGAGGGCCATTTCATACCTGCATGGGGTGTGAAAGACAGGAGACAAAGTCCAAGCTTTGCTCAGTGTTGGGAGACTCTAAGGGGGAACTCCTACAAAAACCTGGGTTATAACATCAGCATAAGGGTGAATGAGAAATAAACCTGTTGTTCAGAAAAACAAAAGAAAAAGCTTGCCTATCTCAATTTTGGTATTCAGTAGGAGGAAAGGGCAAAAAAAACCCAAAAAACAAAAAACTTTCCCACAGGGTACTAAAGAATTTTTTAAGAAGAAAAGTATAGAACATAAAGGAGATGACTAATAAATCCATCTACCTCATATCAAAAATTCTGTTCATCAAACAATACCACTAAGAGTGAAATAAAAGTTACATAAACTAGCAAAAGATATCTCCAATAAAATAACAAATAATTAGTATTCAGAATATGTAAAGAGCTCCCCAAAATCAAAACTGCACAACAGAAAAATAGAAAAAGGAAAAAAAAAAAGACATTTCACAGGAAACACAAAGAGACTTAAACAAGGAGAAGATGTTAAATGTTGGAAAAAAATGTGGAATCACGGCAATGTTTAACCATGACTCAGGGACTGACACTTGAAAACAACTGAGCCTTGCCCAGTAAAGGGGAAGTGTACTCCGCTTCCAGTGATACACCCCTGGCCGTGCTTCCCAAGCTACGGACAAGAAAATTCACAGCAGCATAGCCTGTCAGAGCACAACAATTGATATAACTCAATGGTAGAATGAATTACAAATTGTGATATATTAATACACTAGAACACTATATAAAAGGGAAAAATGAGCTACGCTACATGGTAATATTACTAAAAGCAGCAATTTCCAGCAGAATGCCTACCTAACGTTGTGATTTCACCTACAGAAAGTAGACAAAACACTTTCAGAAACAAGCAAAACACTTATTTTATACATAGATATATTTTAAATTGTATTGTTAATAGGTAATAAATTAAGATAATTGGATAGGTGATAAATTTAGCATTCATTCAGCATGAAGTAAAAATATGAGTGCTTAGTCATGTCTGACTCTTTGTGATCCCATGGACCATAGCCTGCCAGGCTCCTCTGTCCATGAAATTCTCCAGGCAAGAATACTGGTGTGGGTAGCCATTCCCTTCTCCAGGGGATCTTCCTGACCCAGGGATCCAACCCAGGTGTCCCCCACTACTGGCAGATTCTTTACCATGTGAATCACCAGGGAAGCCCCTCCTTCAGACCAGCATCTTATAAATTACTTTTAGACTGCAGTATTTTATTTTATTGTTTCCTTTAATTAAAGCAGATCCTTCTATGTTCCTCTTTGATATTTATTAAATATTTATCAATTTATTATTATTATTAATTATTAATATAAAATATATATTAATATTCTATTAGTGTTTTATAATTTGTTAACATTTATTAATCAAATATATGTGTTTCTAAATGCAAAAGACATTTGTATAGTTTAAAGAAATCTTTAAAGAGACACAAACACCAATACATACACCCACTACCCAGTTTAACGAGTACATTACCGCTACTTTAAAAATCCTCCCAGGATCCCCCTCTAATTACACATTCCTCCTTCTCCCTGGAGTTAACAGTGATAGTGAATTATTCCTGAGACAGGCTTCTAATAGGTTTAAAACATGCATGTTTCATGTGCATATAACAGCTCCGAGAGAACCAGAGAGACGTTCGGTCCTGCATCACCCTCCCCGCTCCACCCTGGTGCACGCTGGAGCCTCTCCTGCTCCTGCTACCCTGAGGGAGGAGCAGAGGCATGAGAGAGTGGGCTCAGAACCCTCACTGTCAGATTCAATGTTAACTGCGCTGCTCAGTAACGGTGTGATCAGGCTCCATGTATTCAATCGTCTGTGGGTCAGTCTCCTTATCTATAAAAAGGAGATGACAGCTTATTTCCTTCAAGATAATCTATCTTTATACTATAAGGAATGAATAACATAAAACATTTAAAACAATGCTTAACCAATAAGCAGAAGATTAAGAAGAGGTGGCAAGAATCCACAGAAGAACTATAAAAAAAGATCCTCATGACCCAGATAACCACAATGGTATGATCCCTCACCTAGAGCCAGACATCCTGGAATGCAAAGTCAAGTGGGTTTTAGGAACCATCACTACAAACAAGGCTAGTGGAGGTGATGGAATTCCAGTTGAACTATTTCAAATCCTAAAAAGATGATGCTGTGAAAGTGCTACACTCAATATGCCAGCATTTGGAAAACTAGCAGTGGCCACAGGACTGGAAAAGGTCAGTTTTCATTCNAAGGCTATGGGTTTTCCAGTGGTCATGTATGGATATGAGTGTTGGACTGTGAAGAAAGCTGAGCGCTGAGGAATTCATGCCTTTAACTGTGGTGTTGGAGAAGACTCCTGAGAGTCCCTTGGACTGCAAGGAGATCCAACTGGTACATCCTAAAGGAGATCAGTCCTGGGTGTTCATATGAAGGACTGATGCTGAAGCTGAAACTCCAGTACTTTGGCCACCTGATGTGAAGAACTGACTCATTGGAAAAGACCCTGATGCTGGGAAAGATTGAAGGCGGTAGGAGAAGGGGATGACAAAGGATGACATGGTTGGCTGGCATCACAGACTCAATGGACATGAGTTTGCGTAAGATCTGGGAGTTGGTGATAGACAGGGAGGCCTGGTGTGCTGCAGTCCATGGGGTTGTAAAGAGTCGGACATGACTGAGCAACTGAACTGAACTAAGTAATAAGCATCAAAAAATGTATTGCACATCATTATCACTAGGGAAAAGCAAATTAAGCACATATTTATATACCACTATATCTACCACAATGTCCAAAATTACAATGTCTGAAAATACCACATGTAGAGAAAGATATTGAGCAACTAGAATCCTCATCATTGCTGTTGGAAATGAACACTTTTTTTGGAAAACTACAAGCAGTTTCTAAAAATCCTTAAAATACAATACACCTACTGTATAATTCCTATACATATACATCAAAAAGAAGTAACAAAACACAAACACAGAGTCTTTTATAAGAATATTGATAGCAGCTTTATTCATAACCCCAAAATGAAAATTATATCTATCAGCATACAAAATTGATAAACTGTGGTATATTCATTAATGGCATACTACTCAGGAAAAAGGAAGCAAACTACTACATACAAAACATAAATGAACCTCTAAAACATTATAAGCAAAATAAGTCAGGTACAAAAGAGTATACGATTTCATTTGAATGAAGGTCAGGAACAGGCAAAACTAGTCGACAGTGATAGATATTAATACAGTGGTTTCCATGTGAGGGGGTGAATACTGCCTGAAAACAGACATGAGAAATTTCTGGGGTGATGAAACCATCATACATCTTGATCTGATTCATAGCGGGGCTGAAAAAAATTTATCTATAAAATTTTTTTTTATAAAAAGCTATACTATACCCAATAAATACTCACCATGAAAAGTTTTATTCCCCTAAGTAAAATGTTTTCAGGTTTTTTAAAGTATCTGACATGCAGTAAGCATGTAACCAAAGTCTTTCACTATTACCACTTCAAGTTGGCTAATCTGTTTAGAGTGGATAGGAAATAATCATGATCAAATGAGGCAAAAAACAAAATAAAACAGTCACTCAAAGAAGGGGAAAACAATGACAGGTAATTATATCCACTCTCTGCTAAACTGAGAATTCCCGGTGAAGTCCATGGATAACTAGTATGGATTTCTTTGATATTATCTCTTGCATATTGCTCTCAGTATATTCATATGTATATACATGTAATCAGTTCAGTTCAGTTCAGTCGCTCAGTCCTCTCCAACTCTTTGCACCCCCATGGACTGCAGCACACCAGGCTTCCCTGTCTATCACCAACTCCTAGAGCTTGCTCAAACTCATGTCCATCCAGTTGGTGATGCCATTAAATCATCTCAGCCTCTGCTGGCCCCGTCTCCTCCTGCCTTCAATCTTTCCCAGCATCAGGATCTTTTCCAACAAGTCAGTTCTTCACATCAGGTGGCCAAAGTATTGGAGTTTCAGCCTCAGTATCAGTCCTTCCAATGAATATTCAGGACTGATTTCCTTTACGATTGACTGGTTGGATCTCCTTGCAGTCCAAGGGACTCTCAAGAGTCTTCTTTGACTGTGTAATATATACACCTATATAAACATACAGGTGTATAAATAATATGTCTAATATATATTGGGGCTTCACAGGTGGCACAGTGGTAAAGAATCCACTTGCCAAAGCAAGAGACACAGAGACACAAGTTTGGTCCCTGCATGGAAAAGATCCCCTGGAGAAGAAAACAGTAACCCACTTCAGTATTCTTGACTGTGAAATCCCATGGACAAAACAGCCAGGCAGGCTACAGTGCATGGGGTTTCAAAAGAGTCGGACACGACTGAGCGACTAAATAACAACAAAATCAACAACAATATATGTGTTTTATATATATATATATATTTTTTTTTATATATATACTAAAAACATTTTCTACTTTTTTAAAAATTTAATTGTGTGGTGATGTCTAAGGTTCACTCACAGTAGGGATAAAAAAAAAAACATGGACTATTATCTTCAACTTAGGTCTGTGATACTGCACTTAAAACTTTAAGGTCATATTATTGTTAGTAGCTGGAGGTAAAATGATGGTAACTGTTGAAGGTTGGATGCCTTTCGAATACCACTCTGAACTGTTTTCTGTGGATCAGGTAAAATAAGGTAAGAGCTGTCAGGTATGGAGGGATATGGGTGCATGTAACGTGCATATATATATATATATATATGGGTGCATATAACGTGTCCCCAGCATTCCTATACTAGGAAATCATTTGAAGATGATACAGTTTGCAGTACTTACCTTAGTCACTTGGTTCTCAAGATATTCCACGAAACAACCAGAACTTGCTATACATTTTCTACATTTCCAACAACGAAGAATACTTATGTCTTCTTGATTATGGTTTTTAGTTATCAATTCTTTACTTCTCTTCATCTGTGGAAAAATTAATGCATTTTTAGAATGTTAAACCATGTCAGATTAAACCAGATTTTCTAAACCCTTTGAACAGCATTAGCTACATCTGTACCAGAAAGAATTATCGTTTATTGAGGTACCTACTACTATTAGGCTATGCGTGTTCTATAAACTATATCCATGATTAATCATGACAATGATACAGTATATTAGTGAGTACCAGCTTACTTTTGTAAAACATGTTATTTCTTTCCATCTGTCTTCACTAGAAGTAAAAGGCAACTGCCGAAGAGTTAAAGTTACTGCAGTTAAAAGGGTCATAACAAAGAATTTTATTCTTATAAATAGGATGCTTTGAATAGTCACAGCATTAAATTTTAAATATAATAGGATTTACTGAGTTATAGTTAATTCTGTGAAAACTGAAAGTAACTGCTTCAAATTAATGGGAAAAATTCTGTATCCTAAATGCAATAATTTTTCTTGTATATTGTATTCAGTGGAACAATATTACATCTCGTGGTACATTCAATCAAACAAAAAGACTTAGATAATAACCCTACCATTTCTAAGCCTATTTTTATTCCTGAGATTTTATGTCATCACTGAGATTTAGACCAGTTTGGGGGAAGTTTCACACTAATAAGGATTCCAAATTGCAGTGTGTTTAAGAATCCACCTGGTAACTAATCATTATTAAAAAAAGAAATGTTAATTTATTAAGCTATACACAAGGGCCTGCCTAGTTCCCTGGCCACATGTCCTCATTTGTTAGCTCTTTAGTATTTCATTTACTTAACAAACATTCACTGAGAGCTAACCAACCATATGCCATACAATGAGTCAAACTCTGGAGGCACAATGATGAGCAAAACTTATTTTCTGTCACAGACCTTACTATGCTTTCTGCATCAAGAGCTTTTTACCCTAGCTCATCAGAATCACTTAAGTTTTAAAAAATACTGATGTCCAGGCCAAGTTCCACTCTGAGAAATTTTAACGTTTTCTTAGAAGGGGAGGGAGTTAGGAATGGGTACATTTTATTAAAAAGTTCCCCAGGTGATCCTCTAGTGTGGCCAGGATGAGGACAGGCTGTGTTAATGCACAAAAAAATTAACTAAAATGTACTACTAACTGCTGAAAGGACAAGAGAGGGAACATGGATGGACTTTAGCCAAATTTAAAGTAAGGATTTGAGGAACTCTGCCTGGAAGGGCACAGCATGCCACTCTTGAAGCCACTCTAGCTCTGAGCTTCAGGAGCTAGGCAGCAGTGCAGTCTCCACTGGCATCTTTAGAATCCATCTTGGCCCAGATGAACATTCCATTTAAAGTCCATCCCCAATGATCATCAACAACATCTTAATTTGCAAATGCCCTGACCTCCTCCTCCTCCTTTACTCAGTTTCCCTCGCACTCCATCCATCTCTCAATGGTCTTCTTGGCATCTATCCTCAACTCCCTTTAAACCACGAGTGGTTCCCCACCAGGAGTGGGGCTTGTAGGGAGGGGCTGTATCAGAATCGACAAAGGAGAAACTCCGTATCTGCCTATGCTCTCCCTCTCCCTGAGATCCATGCACACCTCCCCATTTCTCCCCTTCCTTCAGGTGGTTCCACAACCCCTTGCAGTGGGATCATGCAATTAGAGAAAGCCCTATTGGTGATTCTAATAGCCCTATTGGTGATTCTAATAAGTTTTCACTGAAAATCTGAGAATTATACTGTGTGACAACTCTTTTATGGCAATGATTTTTAAATCTATATATCTAGTTTGAGTTTTTTCCAAAGCTCTAGACCAATAATTTCAACTTCTGAATGTCAAATGCTATCTCTACATGAATCTTCTTTAGGGCCTTTGTGCTGGCTGTTTGCTCTGTCTACCCTGTATGTTAGCCACTTGTTAGACCTGTTATTAAGCACTTGAAATGCGGCTAATCTGAACTGACATGCACAGTAAGCGTAAAACATACACTGGATTTTGAATACCATGTAGGAAAAAAAGGAATGTTAAATATCTTAATAGTTTTCATATTTATTTCATGTTGAAATAAAAATTTTAATACACTGTTAAAAATACACTGTAAAAATATTTCACGTTTCTTCTTACTTTTTGAATATCACCTCAAAGTCATATCCTCATAAGTACAGTATAAGAAGCACCTTAGGTAGCACCTAGGAAGTTTATTTAAATGTAGGTCACAGTCCAAGGAAATCTAATTCAATGTTTCTAGGGTAGGACTCTGTATTTAACAAGCACACTAGGTGGTTCTATTACAGGTGATCTGAAGATCACACTCGGGGGGACACAATATAGTCTAAGCTCTATTTGCAACAACATGAATAGACTTTCAGAGTATTAACCTTAGTGGAATAAGTATTTGACAGAGAAAGGCAAATACCTTATGCTATTACTTACCTGTAGAATCTAAAAAATAAAACAAATCAATGTATGTAACAAAAGAAAAACAGATTCACAGATATAGAGAACAAACTAAGTAGTTACCAGTGAGGAGAAGGAAAAGGGGAAAGAGAGGACTATGGCAGTAAGAGGTACTGCTATGCATAACATAGACAAGCAACAAGGATATACTGTACACAGAGATAAATATAGCCATTATATGGTAATAACTTTAAGTATAATCTGTAAAAATACTGAATCACTATGTTGTACACCTGAAACTAATATCATAAATCAACTATGTGCTAAGTTACAGCAGTCATGTCCGACTCTTTGCGATCCTATGGACTGTAGCCTGCCAGGTTCCTCTGTTCATGGGATTCTCCAGGCAAGAACACTGGAGCGGGATGCCATGCCTTCCCTCTAGGGGATCTTCTCAACACAAGAGATCGAACCCATGTCTCCTAGTCTCCTGCACTGGCAGGAAGGTTCTTTACGACTAGTGCCACCTGAGCAGCCAAAAAATCAACTACACTTTAATTAAAAAACAAACAGTCTAAGCTTCTTAAGATGTCAAAAAAGGTCCGTTAGGTAACACAAAGAATTCCTGTAATGGAACTGTTATGTATCTGATTGTGGTTTGCTCATAAGAATCCACACATGTAATAAGATTGCATATAAGACACACACACACACACACACACACACACACACAAGTGTATGCAACTGTTAAAATCTGAATAAAGTAGACTGTTTGAAGGGTACACAGGATTTCTCTGTGAATCTGTAATTCATAATTCACAACTGAACCTACACATATTTCAAAGTAAAAAGTTAAAAAGAAACTTTTACCATGGACATTAAAAACTTAAAATTTTAAAAACTCATAACATTTTTACCAATTTAACTGTCCTCACATATTAGTATAATCTTCTCTATCTTTTCACTATATTTTTAGCTGCATAATTTTTGATTGCCTCTTCATACAACAACAATTGTGCAATATTTTCTAAACAGAGAATAGAAAGATCATTTAGTCTTTCTTCTTTAAAAAACAAAAAGTCCCTTTAAATCCTTTAAAACCCAACTCCAAACTAGCTCTCAAGTCTTGGTGTACCCTCCATGAGCATTCCATACAAACACTATGCAGATCTTTGTGCAGTTTCCTAAATTTACCCTTTTCTGCTTTTCCACTTTCAAATTTGCTGTTCTCTCTTCCTGTAAATCACTTCCTTTTCCTCTGAATTTAAGAAATACTTTCTATCATTTAAGGCTGAGCTCGCAATTGTCTTTTACAGACACTCCCCGGAAAACAAGTCCTCGTTTTCTGGGCTTCCAGGCCATGTTGCGTGTGCCCCAATAGCAACACTAGTCAAGCTGTGTACACTTATGTGTGTGTGTGTCTTATTAATTGAATGGTGACACCCTAAAAAGCACCATATTGTATTCAAACCTGCATTTTTACAATCAAATACTGTACCTGGCACCAAACATCACAGTCACAGGTGTTCACTGAAATCAACAAGACTTGGCACCTCAGCTTATGAAAATTCTTTTTTTAATACCGAGTATTAAGTATGACTGGATAACTGACAGGGCAAGCCAAACAGAAGTCCTTTAGCAAGGGATGTGAGGCCAAGGGAAGAAATAAAGCTGTGTTTATACACATCTAAACTTGAAAGAAGAACTGGAGGCTACCCAACGGTGATATATTCATAGGACAGCTGAGGTGATTTCTTTCAGAGAATTTATGCTGAAAGGAAGAGGCCAAACACGGTTAATGAACCTATTAATAAAATGCTAGTCTTTGAGCTGACTTGAAAACAGCCTGGTTGTTGACTGCTAGCTCAAATCCATCCCTGTCTAGCTCCCTAGACACTGGTATGGGTTCTAGAAAAGAGGGAGCTGTATAAGTAAACAATTGAAAACTGTTTTCTGTCTGCAAGTGTGTGTGCTCAGTCGTGTCTGGCTCTTTGCGACTCTATGGAGAGTAGCCTGCCAGACTCCTCTGTTCATAGAATTTCCCAGGCAAGAACACTGGGGTGGGTTGCCATTTCCTCCTTCAAGGGATCGTTCCAACCCAGGGATCGAAGCTGAGTCTCCGCATCTCCTGCAGTGGCAGGCGGATTCATTACCACCGAGCCACCTAGGAAGCCCCGTTTTCTGTTGGGGTCTAAACAAGTGTGAGCAGCATACACCACATGGTTTCAACACTTTGAGCGCCTGGAGGCAGCAACTAGAGAACTATCAAAGCAAACAGAGAAGTGACCTTGGGAAACATAACATGAAAATGAACTTAACTGCTGAACACATATGAATGTCTCATAATGACCATTACCAGCATGAGCAAAGTTCTTTAACTATGGGACAGTAAAGCTTATCACAGTGCACGCAGGTTTTTCAAAGTGCTAATTTTTGTGTAAAAGTCAAATTTTATCACCTGCAACAAATACTGCCAAACATCCAGGTCTGAAAAACCATAGTTTGTTAATCATTTGAGTAAAAATTGCATGCCATGGAAAGGTGGAGAGTTCAGCTCTCAAATGAAACTACTGAACACGGGTTCTTCTTCAACACTACCCACCATCAGCATTCAGTGTACTACAGATGTGCTTTATG